CTATAGGGCTACTTCCACGGCCTTGGCAATTGGAAATCTACTTTCACAATAAAGATTATAGTTTTGTTTTACAAGAGATATACTTATCTCTAAACATTGGTAAATAACTAACTTCAACGATCTTCCCTTCTAAACCTGCTCTCCTAACTAAATCACACCATCGATCAACATCTTCTTTCCCATTGTAACTTTGCTACTAGAAAGATAACCTTGAGAGTAATCGAGAGACTCTCTATATGTAGAAGTGAAACCCAAACAACCCAAAATCCCATGGAAAAACTGCATCTATCTAAGAGACCACATCTCTCTCTCTTGGAGACGTATCTCTTTCTTGGAGACCCATCTCCATTTAGGAGATCCCTTCCCATATGACCCTCAAAGCGATGACCCTGAAAATGATATATTATATCTTCTTTGACCCCCTTTTAAAAAGATCACCATGCTTCTTTCTTGTTCTCTCAAAAAACACAATTTTTATTTTGCCATAATGCCTTTAATCTTTTTAAAAAATATAAGTGTGATGCTTTTGACTATTATCAAACCTAATAGTAATTCTCTCGGTATATAATAAGAAAGATAGATACTTAGATTGAGCATTCGTTGTTATGCCAAATGCCTCCAGCCTGCTTATTAGGGGGTGTTCTATCTAAAAACAATGAAAACTAATAATTCAAATGTTTTTTTTTACTAGAATTATCATTTCTATTTTTTTAAATTTATTTGTTTTTTCATATTCATGATCTTCATGTTAGAGATTACAAGTCGGCAAAAATTAAGTCTTAAAGTTGATCTCAAAAATAGATTTATTAAGAGGCCCGTATTGGTATATATATATATGGGTTTGGCCTCATAGAAACCGGGTCCCAAACCATTAATAATCATTAGCTCATAGTAAAGGTACGGACTTGACACCCAACTCTCTTGCAAAACAATCATAGAATATTGGATATTTTTCTAAAGCATATCAGACTTTGGATCGTGGCTTTGTATGGTGCCAAAATCATGTCATATCTTTCTTGACATCAGTTGGTGTAAGTCATCCTGTCCCAATATGCCTTTGTAAGTCGGTTTTAGAAATGGGTGCAGTTTGTATAGAGCTGAGGCTCTAAACAATCAAAGTAAAGCACGCTTTCAAATCGTGTCGAGAAATCTAGTTTTAATTCTGAAAATCTTTGTGTTATCTTTAAATATATTTTCATCTTTAATTAAAAAATTTAAGCCTTAAAAAATAGTGCTGATTGGGCACATCTATGAAAACTTGAAATTGTTGAAAATTGATAGTAAGAAAATGTGTAACAAAATGCACCATTTCCAAAATTTTGAGTTTTTTTTTTTCCTTTCTTTTTTTTATGATGTCTATGCATATTGATGTCGAGATGATCAATTTGAAGTTATTTGAGCATCAAAACAACTTTTTCTAGTAAATTTTTTGAGGTGGGCTCTAATTTGATCATTTAAAGACTCATTTCTATATAAACTTTTTTTATTTTTTATTAAAAATCTCTAATAAACTCACTTGTATCTTCTTTCAAACATAAGGTAATGTAAAACAAAGAACAGTGTGAGATGAGATCATTTACTTTTGAGACGAGGAAGATCACATTGACTCCGATTTGTCAAACGTAAAATCAAATCGTGGCAAGGACGGAGTACAAAAGGTCTTGATGATCGATAACGAACTTTTCACCCCCTTTTCCTTTTTTTATCCCCAAGGGACTACATGGAATTTTCGTGGAAAGAAAAATAAAAGAAACCTTTGAATGCAGTATTAAAATCAAAGGACACTGAGAATTGAAGGTTGAACGCAACCCACTTATTGAGAATCCAATATGTTGTCTTCTATGCTCGAGGTAAGGGGTAGCAATGCAGTCGGTTCGACCACCAACTCGAAGGATTGAGCTAACACATGTTCAGGTTTGGATTCAAATATTGGACTTAGTGTTTAGAGAATTGTCGATCTGGATACCGATCTGAATCGGAAAGCGCCTTGAAGGATCTGTTTCTCGGAACTGGCCGTGTCTCCCCTGAAATCGATGATTCCACTTTTCAACTACGAACAATGCAGTTTGTTCACGGGTTTTCATTGTTTGATCAATTTTTTATCCGCTCGTGACACTTTTGTGGAGAATTATTGCTCTAAAATATTGAAAAATGGCTATAAAACCAATATTCAATTTATTATGAGTGATATGATAATATGAGATTTGTGGACCAATAATGGGGTTTTTGAAGGTTTTATACAAATCTGCCTTCCTTGAGATTTTAGCATTGATTTGCAACCAAATTTTCTGAATTTGGTTTTTTTTGAAGATAATTTAATCCTACACAGCATTCGAGTTCAGATTTGTTTGATTAAGCTAGGATTCCCCATTGATTTTTCTTTGAAAATCAAGAAGGTGAAGTTCCTGAAATTTTATGGTCAACCAAAATCAAAGACGAAAGTGCAGATTTGGGTTGCTTTTGATCCAATTTCAGTGGGGTTTGTAAACAGATATTTAAATTTCATATAAATAAGCTATATTTAATTTCCATTTCATTTTATTTTTACAATTTTTTTTCCGCCTATACACCACAGATTTTAGGGTTCCTCCATTTCAATTTCTTCTGCCTCAAACTTGAATCAAGTTTATTGAAGTTTGATTCAAAATGATCGCAGTGATTCTGTATTCCATATTACAAATGCAATACAACACATAGAAATCGAAAAGAGCATGGATTTTGCGTCATAACGCAGACCAGTTTTGGAGATTTTGAGTAATCATATTTTGAAAATTAATAATTTTTTGAATAAAACTGGGGCTTTTGATGCACATAGTTCATTGATTGTGATTCAATATTTTTCATTTTTTAAAATTTTCAAAAATTTGTGTCATTATATTCCATTTTTTATGGAAGAATTTTTTTTTTAAGAAGTTCTTTTTGTTAATGTCATTCACATTGAAATTTATAAGGGGTTTTACTTTTATTTTTAATCTTATGATATGGAAGTGAGTTTTATGTTTTATGTTTTTTGAATCATGTTTGAAACAATATTATAATATTATAATTAATAATTATACATTAAAATTTAAATCTTGTATTTTATTTATTTATTTTTATTATTACAAATTATGCAATGGTGTGGTTTCTATAAGGTTGCAACATTAAACAATCCAATTAAGGTGCACTTTTAAATTTTATCATGTAATTTTGGTGGAAAAATTATTAGGATTATCTCAAAATCTATTTTCGTATCTAATTATAAAATTTTAAACTCAAAAAATGGTTAAAATCAAGAAGATCTATAACAATATGAAAATCTTGAAAATAGACGGTCTAGATAATGTATTGCAAGATGCATTATTTCTGAGACTCAAAATACTTTTTTCCTTTCATATTCATATATCTTGATGTTGTGATAATCAATAAGAGGTTTTTTTCAACATTAAAACAACCTTTTTCCAATGGATTTTTGAGATAGATCTATAATTCTACATTTCATGGTTGCAACCTTATATAAGCTTTTTCCATTATGTAATGTATTATTTTTGTTATAGTTGTAAATAAGACTTTTAAAATTAGATAATATTTTAAGATAAAGTTTAAATTTAGGGCACAGGTTCTATATGTCCACGGACTCACATGTAGAAATGCACATCCTTTAAAAATTTATTTTTGGAATAGAATTTGATCCTAATTTTTAGGGAATATATAATCTTTAACATGTAGATTATTAATCTTTAAAAATAAATAAATGTTAGAAACTAGAAATGATATCTTTTTTGAAGAAAATATGCGAATTGTTGATTTTACTTCTTTTTTTTTTTTATGAAATACTATTTGTGGTGTAGATTTACACTTTCTTTGGTGAATGGTGTAGATCTCCAAACCAGCATAGTAAAAGGTGCGGGCTTGGACGCACCAAACAATTCTCCTAAAATTTATTCTTGTTTGTAATAGTAAAATAATTATAAAATATAAACTAATAATTCCAATTTTAGTATATAGTATTATAGTTGGTTAGATTGTGATACTTTTGGATGAATAGAGAGAATTAACGAATGTTTGATGTGATACTAATTTCACTTTATAAGAAGTTTTATTTTCTTATTCTTATAGCATAAAAGTGTTTTTTATTTTTTTTTAATCATGATTGATGCAGTATTATAATATAATATTTTATTATAATTCTGGGTTATGTTAAGGTGTTCACACCATAGAGCATAATTCTACTCAACAAACTTTGAACACTTAAATACTATTGTTTTGCAATACAATATTTTTTTAATAAGGATATTTTTAGTCATTAGGAGCGGTGTAACATCATCGGCATTGAGCATATTTAATACTCTTCAGACCCCATGCCGATGATGTCAGACCCATCTTGACCAAAAATACCCTTACTAAAAAAATATTAAATATACAAAACAATGGTACATAAGTGTCCAAAATTTAATGAGTATCATTATAGAATGATCTATAATGTGAACGCCCTAACATAATCCATAATTAATAATTATACAGACATCTAGATAGGGAAATATATAAATATTCACTTTTTTTACAAATAATGAAAGTACATAATGTAACACTCTCAATGTTTTTTTTCAAAACTCAAAAAACATAATTTTCAAGGATTTTTAGTAGTTTTTGATATTTTTTTGAGGGCAAAACCAACCGATTCTCCAATCTAGCTCGCCGATCCACCATTCTGATGTGGTTTTTAGGGTTGCCGATCCATGCCACGGATATGTTTTTTTTATGCCTTGATTAAGATCCGATGGGTTGGGTTTGGGTCTAAATTACTTGAGCCTGACATAGGTGGGTGTGATCGGTTCCATCCAGGACCTTATTAGGTTGGTTCAGGTGCAGGTCAAGGTCTACTCGATATGAAGGTATCGACCCCGTCCAACATTATTTACAGTATTTTATAATAAATTATATTTTCTTCTGCCCAAGCGACCTCACCAACAACACGACTCATTAACACCCTTGCTAACATCGATTAAACAATCCAAATATAACAATAATACGAAATTTAATAGATTACGAGACTGAAATTACATATAAAAAAAAAGAAACACAGAATAGTCTTCATTTCCAATAGTTAATAAACCAGGAATAAATGACTACAATATCATAAAGAACTATCAACTCCAATAAGCCTAAACGTTCCCTTGGATATAGGTCTCGTACACCATTTGTGCACTCAGCAGGTCCACGAGGCCCGAGCCCACCGATTTGAACACAGTGAGTTCCTCTCTCTTCATCCTCCCTCTCTCTAGGCCCTTCAACAAATCCACCAGTAAACCCACCTTAATCCCTTTCTCCCTCATCCCCACAATCTCACCCGCCTCCTCAAAAGCAGCCTCACAATCCACAAAAACCCTCCCTCTCTCAATGACCTCCTCATCGCACTCTCTCATAGTGGGCCTAAACGAGCCCACCAAGTCCAAGTGAACTCCAGGCCCACCAATTCTTAGCAGCATCTCACCCCTCACCATAGGCACCTCCGAACCAGTGGCGCAGCTCACCAGGTCCCCAGCCCTCACAGCTTCCTCTAGCCCTCGAGCCAACTCCAACTTGACCGAGCCCACTGCGGGCTCGAGATCATGGACCAGGGTTTGAGCCTTTTGCGGGGTCCGGTTCCATATTATGACCTTGTTTATAGAGGGCCTGGCCGAGAGGTGAGCTCGGATGAGGAACGGGGCCAATGAGCCGGCGCCGAGCATGGTCAGGGTCTGCGGGTCGGGGTCGGATAGGAAGGAGGAGGCAAGGGCGGAGAGGGCCGCGGTGCGCCAGAGTGTGAGCGCGGTGCCGTCGATTAGGGCTAGGGTTTGGCCTGTTAGAGAGTGAAGGAGGAGGTAAGAAGCTTTGATGGAAGGGGAGGAGTGAGGAAAGGAGGTGAGGAGTTTGATGCCGAGGTAAGGGAGGAGAGGGGAGGAGGAGAAGGAGGGCATGAGGAGGAGGGCAGAATCGGAATTGGGGATGGTGTTGTGTATGATGGGGTGGATGTGCCGATGGGGGGTGTGTATGGAAGGGGAGAGGCTTGGGAGGGTCGAGCGGAGGTGGTGTATGAGAGAGGGGAAGGAGAGGATGGAGTCCACGGCCGAGCCGTCGATGACCGCGATGCTGCTTATTTGGCGTGGAGGAGCGGGAGCAGGGTTTTGATGCTTCACTCCTTCTCCGTTGTTGGTTGAGGAGGCCATGTTTTTTTGGGGGGTTCTGCAGCGTTTGACTTGTGGACTCCTGTTAAGTAATCAGAAAATGGGAAGAAAAATAGTGATGCACATGTGGGGCATGGACGATAGACGGTGGATTTTAGGTTGGGTGAGTGTGCATCATCTTTCTTTTCTTGGTCTAGGTCATGTGAATTTCCCTCTGCGTAACCTGGATGACTTGCACACATTTCTATAGGAAGTGGGTGGAAATTGCGGATATTCATTTGCTATTCCACCCAAATTTCGAAAAGTTCCTGGGGGAGTCCGCTTTATATTTACTAGATTTCTTTCTCAAATTTAAGATCCTACATCTTAAAATGGTATCCTCCCCTAAATCCTAATATTGATTTTCTTTATATTTACCGTCAAGTTAAATAAATCAATAGATTTAAGACAAAAATGCTCTTGCTTTCTCTATTCTACTCTATTTTTCACATTTATGTTCTCTCAAAGTAAAAACATATTCTCTCTCTCTCATTCTCTAATAATGCATGCAATACGGTATATAGGGTACCATACCAAAATTTTTGAGTTCCAATAATGGTGGCTTGTAATTTGGTTTAGTACATTGCCTGTTAGAATTTGACTTAAGGCTGGTAATGTGGTTTGCGATCTGTGTCGGACTGCATTACCAACCTCAACTCAGATTCTAATTGGACCACAAAAATCTTAGTTCATAGCTAGAGAAAAAAAGAGAAAGAAAGAGAACAGATTTTTACTTTGGGAAAAGGAGTTCAGGCAGAGAGATAGTCATGTGGCCCCAATATAGAAAAAAGAGAGAGTAAAAGCATTTTTGTCTTAAATCTATTGACTTTTTACTTAAAGGATAATATAAAGAAAAACAATATTCGAATTTAGGGTAGGATATAAAAAGTTTTGAGTGATAGAACGTCTAAAAAGTTGAATTTGAGGGTATCTATAAATTATTGTATTTTCTAAGGTGTATCTCCATAATAGAAGTGTGGCAATGTGTCGGGTGTTGTTCTGGCTCCGGTCGGAGCCGACTCGACCAGACCCGAACTTCTCGGACCAATACCTAAACCTGCCCAGACCCGACTGGATTCAGACCAAGATCCAATTGGACCCAACCCAAAAATAATAAAAATATGTATATTTAAATATTATATTAAACATATACATATATTATTTAAATATTATAACTAAAAATATATAATTATATTTATTAAAAATATTATATATTACATATTATTTAAATATTAACACTATTCGGGGCCAGGTCACAGTCAGGTCTACCGGGACCTACCCAGACTTGACTAGTTTTCGGATCCAAATCTTGGACCCGGACTTGACTCGTTGGGTTCAATTTCTGGACCCATACCTGGATCTGGGTCAGCTTCAGTCGCCAGATCCCGGTCCATTGCCACCCCTACGTTATTTTGATATTGGATATATATGGACATGATACCAGATTTTAAGTCCTAAAAATAGTGTGCCTTCTAACACATTATCCGGCGTGCCTATCTTTAGGGTAACCTTTGTATTTGTATATCTACTCAATCTGCACTATCTTTTGAGTTTTAGGGGTCGTTTGGTACGTGTGAAAGTTTGACAGAAAAATATTTACACTTGCTAACAATTTACCGGAAAAATATACTCAAGCATGCTTTTTCCCATCTTTGAATTTTGAGATAGTTTCTTTCTCTAAATTTTTTAAAATAGTTTGTCTCTCTAATTTTTTCAATTTGATATAGTTTCTTTCGCAAAAAATTTTGAGACAGTATTTCTCTTTAAAACATAATTTTTTATATAGTTTGTCTTTAAAAAATTTAGAATTTGCTATAGCTTCTCTCTCTATAAACTTTGATATAGTTTCTCTTTGTAAAATTTGATGTAGTTTCTCTCTCTAAAATTTTAAAAAAATTTCTCTCTCTAAAACTTAAATGTTGGGATAGTGTCTCTCTAAAAATTTTGACCTAATTACTTTTTAAAATTTTTTAGGTATTTTGTTTCTCTAACATTTGATATACTCTCTCTAAAATTTTAATATACTTTCTCTCTCTTAAACTTAAAATTTGAGATAGTCTCTCTCTCTCTCTCTAGAAATTTTGGGATAGTTTCTCATTATAAAAATTTCTAGTGCTTCTCTCTCTAAAACTTAAAATTTCATAGAATTTCTCTCTAAAAATTTTGAGATAGATGTTTAGATAATTTCCCTCTCTAAGATACTTTCTCTCTCTAAACCTTAAAATTTGAGATAGTTTCTCTCTTTCTTTCTTATTCATGGATGTGTTTTGGCGAAATTAATTATACTAATAAAATGGACGGCACCAATATGTGAAAATAAATCGACATAAATGTTTCCCCACCTCAAGAGATGTGATTTTATTTTCACAAAAAAAATGTTCAATCCGTATTAAAATATTTACTATGAAAATTTTTTCACATGTATTTGTCGTGTACCAAATGTGCGTAATATAATTTTTACACGTAAGTATTTTAATACCTACCGAACATGCACAACTAAGATTGAAAACAATAGTAAAATAAGGAAAATTGGGGAAATAGAGTAAAATATGAAAAAGGATAAAAATACAAAAGATTTAAAAATCTTAGAAAATAATATGACTGTTTTTTTTTTTCTTCTTTTTTCTATTTTCTTGGATTTTCTAGATTTTTTGTGGTTTTTCCAGACCAAAAATTAAAAACTTAAAGGAAAAAACAACAAAAAAAGAAAAAAACCAAATATAGTTTTATTATTTTCATAGTTTCTAAACTCTAGTAAATACTAAATATTACTAAATACGAAAACAATAAAAAATGAGTGGGAGAGATAGGGGGTTTTAAAGGCGAAAGAGACGGACGAACGGAGAAAACCTAGAGACTTCACTTTCTCTCTCTCTCTGATCTTGTGGGACGATTTTCTCTCTCTAAGATCTCGTGGCTTAACTCTTTCTCTAAGAATGTACGGCTTGTGTTTGATGAGTGGCAATGGACAGCGATGGGGAGGCCTTTGGGGAAATCAACGGATGTGAAGGCAGTTGGGGGACCCTGATTCAGTCACTTCCCATGTAAAATTGAGGAGCAGGTGATGAATAAAAATGGCCGATTCAAGCTTGGCAAATTCTGAGCCAGCAAAAAGCCTTGGACCACCACCAAATGGCATGAAGTTGTCTTACTAAGGCCCTTGCCCTCCTCCAATCGAAACCATCTCTCTTATCAAAATCTCTCTCTAAAACCACTTTCTAATGGAAAAAGTTTATATAAAGATGCAACTTTATAATGTAGAACTACGGATGCACCTTAAAAATCTTTTGGAAAATGTAGTTTTAGTGTTGAAAAACCCTTTGAATGATCATCTCGCATCGTGATGTATGACCATGAAAAATAAAAAAAATTTAAGTCTCAGAAATAATGCATTTTACAACATATTATCTACAACGTCCATTTTCAAGATTTCATATGTTTATAGATCTACTTGATTTTAACCATTTTTAAAATTTAAAATTTTATAATTAGATATAAAAATAGATTTTGAAATAATCCTAAAAACATTTTACATCAAAATTATATACCATGATAAAATTTGAGGATGCACCTTACGTCTACCGATGCATCCGCATGCCAACTGCACCCCTTTCTAATCTCTCTTCCTCTCTCTAGATCTCTCTCTAACAGTAAGACCAATCTCATCAAAATCTATCTTCCTTTCTCTAACATCTCTCTCTTTCTTTTTACAACCTCGTTCTAGTGCCCTTGATATGGCCGGGATTTCGCTGGAGTAGTTAAGATGTTCTTCGTACTCCAATGTTATGACCAATCTCAAAAAAGATAAAAACAAAAAAAAAAAATTCCAAAAAACCTTGTATGTGCCTCAAAATATAGTGTCATAAGATTGAAAAGAGATTAGCTATTTTTTCGAGAGTCAAATGTGTGTTTAATAACCCCAAATCCTAATATTTGTTTTTAAAATAATCTTATGACTCTTAAGTGGATCCTAAAATTATATATTGAAAAAAAATCTCCTAAATAGCTCTTTCACCAAAGAGAAGTATCTCTTTCACAAAGGAGTAAGTGCAAAGTACATTCCCTCATGAAAAGAGCACAGGCTTAATTGGTTAGTGCTTGATGAAAGATCATGGCTAGTGCTTGATGAAAGATCACTTGCAATTAGTTTTATTACAATAACTCTTGCTTCAAATAAAATAAAAATTTATAAATCCAATATCTTAAAGATTTTGATGCCACTAAACCAAATTTTCTTTAATCAAAGAAAATAACCATGATTCTTGTGCTTGAGAATATAAAGACAGTACAATTAAATATGCAAGAAAAAAAAAGAAAATGTCGAAAATTACCTCAACTGGGTTTATTATACCCCACACTAAGTCACCACTATCCGATGACGCGAGATCGATGGTCTTCGTTCAATCTCAACCGAAAAAACCAATTTTAGCCAAACTCTTCAATGAGACCCTTATGTTCACCCAAAACTCCTTACCATCAATTCCCAACCAAACTGCTTTAAAATTTTTCCCTTCCATTTTTTTATTATATACAAAGCCCAAAACTAAAGAGGGAGGAGTGCATTGAGAATGGGGCGTGACCCCTTTATATAACGTTGAGAAGAGGGAGAAGAGATAAAATCATAAAATAGGAGAGAAGGAGTTGGGTGAGAGAGGAGGGAAGTACATAGGATAGAAGATAGAGAGAGAGAGGATTGACGTGACTCCTCTTTTTTGTTTCTATTAGAAGATAAAGTTTGAGAGAGGAAAGAGAGAGATATAATATTAAGTTTAAGATTTCTATTGCTTGCTTCACAATATTGAATTTTTAATCATCGATCTAAAGTGACTTGTGGGGTGAGAGATTTAAGTCATTCATTCTATAGATGAGCCATCAACATTCTGGAATGTGCTGAACCATTATCCCCCTTTTCTTTTGACTATTATCCCTTCAAATAAAAATTAATTAAAATATTGTGCTCTATAAAAAAATATATTCACAAGCCTTGTAGGCTTTCTAAGAGATTCACTCAAATCTATTAAAGATAAAACACTTTATTAACTCAAACCAATATAATATATCAATATATCCTATAAAGATAGGGCATGCCTCCCATGGGGATACACAAGCCCCTAAAATAGGGGCGTGCCACCCAACGGATGACAACGTGGGCCCCCAATAAAATTTGGGTATAGTGGGCCCATGTGCATAATGGGCTCCCCCCCAAAAATT